CCCCTGTCGTCGACGACTTCCCATCGTAGTCGACGAGCTTGGCGCCTTGTTGTCCGCCGGCAATGCCATTGGCCGGCGCCACAGGCGACGCCTCCAGGCTCCCCTCATCGTCGGTGGCCGACACAGGTGTCGGCGCAGGCAGATCGGCGACGGGAGAGGGAGGAGCAAGAATAGGGGGAGGTGGAAGAACCTCCACAACATCTTCATCAGCAGGCTCGTCGACTTTGGCGAGCAGGGGAACCGTCGCCGTCGAGGTGTCCGTCGGCGGGTGCGCCTGCGTCCGCTCCGACGCCGGCCCATACTTCGCCTTCCACACCTCCAGCGACAGCGTCTCGTAGAAGATCACCTCGACCGACATGACCACCTTGTTGTCGGTCAGGTCGAGCACCTCCCAGCCCTTGCTCTCCGGCGACACACCCAGGTGAAGCCCCCAACGAGCCTTCGGCGCCAGCTTCCCACCTCGTTGCTGCTCGGGAACCATGAACTGCACCATGCAGCCCCACACCCGTGCTAGCGTAAGGTCGGGCATCTGCCCGGTCAGCAGTTGGTACGGAGTCGTTCCCGGCGGCGTCGTCGACCGCTCCAAGCAGTTGCGCACCCAGACCGCTTGTCGTAGAGCAAGGTGCCACCAGTGATGCTGCACGCCTATGTGCAGTAGCATCGTCCACACGGACTCGACGACCGTGCGCATCTCCCGCTCAGCCATGCCATTCTGCTGCAGAGTGTAGGGGCACGTCAGGTCGTGGACGATGCCCTTCCCGTCGACGAAATCGGTGAACGCCTTCCCAAGGAATTCCCCCCCTCGATCGGAGCGAAGCGACAGAACCGATTTCTTTGTCTGTCGTTCCACAAGCACCAGCCACTTCTCGAACTCCCGCAGCACATCGCTCTTCTTAGCGGCCGGCATTGCCCACACGAATCGAGTATGGCGATCCTTCAGCAGTGGGAAGTACAAGCTGCCATCCTTGGCAGCCACCCGAAATGGCCCGCACAAGTCAATGTGCACGACAGCCAGCGCCTCCACTGCATCCGAGCCCTTGGCGGGGAAGGTGTGGCGTGCCAGTTTTCCTCCGACGCACGAGACACATGGCGGGTCTGCTCCGGTCGACGACGTGATGTCGAGCCCAGTAGCAACATCATGCTTTGCCGAGCTATTGATCGTGTTGAGGCTGACGTGTGCGAGCCGCGCATGCATCCTGTCGGGGGTCGTCTTCGTCGCGGAGATGATTGTCCGCAGAGCCACCACCTTGGTCGACGGCGACTGCGTCGAGCAAAGGCGAAGGTCGGTGCAGAGTATCCGTCCGGTGTAGCGAGCTCGACCGAGCACCTCCCCAGTCGCGGAGATGAGCAGCATCTCATCGCCATCGCCCTGCAGCAGCACTCCGCTCTCCTTCAGCTGGCCAGCAGACAACAGGTTTGCCTGTACGCCCGGAACGTAAAGTACGTCGGGGATGAGGACCCGCTTCCAGGCCTCCCCTTGCAGAGCGACGGTTCCGCGACCCTCGACAGGCTGTAATGCCTCGTTGAACCCACGCACGTGCTTCACCCCGTCGCTCGGCCCCATGTCGACGAAGACCGACTTCGTCCCCATCAGGTGGTGGGAGCACCCGATGTCGAGCAGCACCGCCATCGGGTTGGCCTGCACCGCTGCCGCCACTGCCTGGAAGTCCTCGCCAGCCTCCGGTGCCAGCGAGACCGTCGGCTCCACTACGCCGACCATCGAGCACGACGCCTCCCCGTCGCCTCGGCTCTTGCCGCTGGAGCTGTCGACGTCTTTCGTCGACGACGTCTTCTTCGACGCTTGCTTCTCCTTGCGCGGCTTCTCTACTCGACGGGGGCGACGACTGGCCAATCGTCCGCGGCCTCCCTTGTTTTCGTCCTCGTCACTGTCATCGCGGTCGGGGCACTCGAAAGAGAGATGGTCAGGGTCGCCGCAGATCCAGCACTCCCGCCGTCGACCACCACCTCGTCGACCCTTGTCCCGCGTCGACCTCTTCTCGTCGACGTCCTTCGTCAACCGCCCACCTCCGCTACCACCTCTACCTGGCTTCCCGCGCTGCTCCTGCTGATAATTTGGCTTCGTCGGTGCAGCGTAACTCGCCTGCGGAAGGAACTCCGTGGGCTGCTCTGCCTCCTGCATCGCCTCATCCTGGAGAATGTAGCTGGTGATGGAGTCCTCGTCGAGGGACTCACGCGTGCCGGGCACCATCATCATCCTCTTCATGAGATTGTAGCTGCGCGGCAAGCTCTTGACGATGTGGGTGATGTAGGACGCCGTCGAGTATTCGGCGCCCGCCATTCGCATTTCAGCCAGGATCCGTCGAGCACGGTTGCAGTAATCCGTCGCCGACTCCTGCTCGTCCATCCGAATGTGAGTCATCTTCTCCTCCAGCTGCCCGATGTACAGGTCGTCCCTGACCTGGTACGTCGACATGATGAAGCGCCATGCCTGGTGACCAGCATCCAGTCGCTCTCGACAGCTCCTCAGTGCTAGCTGCACCACTGGCGAGCAGCACCTCGAGATGACCATAAAGGTGAGCAGGTGAGCAGAACGAAACTCCCCGCGCAGCCTGACATCCTCTTCGGGCGGAATTGGCACGGTGCCGTCGGCGAGGCCCTTCAGCCCGGCGACCTCCAGCTGAGGTTCGATCGACTCCCTCCAGGTGATGAGGTCCCGTCGACCTTGCAGCGGAGCGACGGCGATCCGGTCCGGCGAGAACTTGAAGTAGCCATACGCCGGTGCAATCCCGCCCGCTGTCACGTGTGTTGTCACTGAGAGCCCTCCACCACTTCGTGGAATAGAACAGCATCGAACATCGACGTCGGCACGCGAGCTCCCTGCAGCAACCGTCGACCGCTGCACTCGCGCCTGGATTCCATCGACACCACCGTCGACCTTGATCACTCCTCTCTGCCTCGTGCCTTCGCTGCCGCTGACTCGTGCACCACCGTCGACCTTGTCGTCGACGCCACCTTCGTTGCGCACCGGTCGAGGAGAAGTAGGACGGGAAGGGTGTTCCATCGCCCACTGCGACCGGATGCCCAACTCGGCGATCACCAAGGGGATCGTCCCGTACTCGCCATCTGCGTGGCGTCTCCTCGCGTCAGCCAAACGTGCCTCCAAGGTGTCCGTTATACCCGCATCAACCACGGGGTCGACCATGGCGACTATCGCTGCTGCCGGCCTACGAACGACTTAGTAGGTGCAAAAGTCGGCTCCTATCTGAAGGTCGCGTGTTCGATCCACGCTCACCGCACCATGAGGAGATACACTCTACAACAGTTGTGAGCTGGACTACAGGGTTGGCACGAACTACTAAAGGTGATCGTAGCTTTGCTTGGTTCCTTAGTGCTTGCACATTCACGGGAGAAATTGGCAATAGTTTTCACTAGCAAAGTTAAGAATCCAGAATCATAAAAGAAGCAATGACAACAATGACTACATTAGGCACCTAGCAACCCTGCAGCGCAGCTCAGACGACCGCCTGCCTGCATTGCGTAGAAGAGCCTAGCCAGCACTGCAGAAGGGCGACCTGCCAACAAAGCAGGTCGACGGCGTGCCCCGTAGAACACAGCAGTGCGCGCGCTCGCAGGTGTGCGCAGACGATTGGCCCGACTTGCCTCGTTGGGCATCCGTCGGCTGTTGTCTGCGCCTGACGAGCCACATCAACTTCGGGATACCAGTCCGAAGTCGCCTGCGCCATCGCGATCTTGACGACGTTCGCGAGCCTTCGCAGAACTCGTCAAGCAGGTTACTCGGTCGACCTGGTCGATCCCTGGTGCTCTGGTCGACCCCCAGGTGCCTCCGGTCGACCACTGGGTCCCTCTGGTCGACCACCAGGCGCTCCTGGTCGACCACAACTCCCGTCGAGCTACCCCCTGGTCGACGGACCCCTTCTGTTGACCAGAACTGCTCTGTCGACCTCCCGGTCGAACTGTAGGTCGACGGACTGCTTCGTCGACCTCCCTGACGGCCCACCCGTCGCACAGACCAGTCAGTTGCAGCTGTCGAGCTCCTTGGTCGACAGCAACACCACAGCGGTCCGCTGCAGCTCGACGTAGCCTGTCGAGCAGCTATTCCACTGTGAACAGTCGGTTGCTACTCCCGTGCATCCGACCAAGTCGTCGGCGTTCCCCAAGCGAGGGCGGGGCCAACACTCCATTCCTTTTAACACAGCAAAGGCGTGGGTTTCCATAGGATGCAGGTCCCTGTTACCGGTATTGACACTGACAAGATATGTTGACCCGTGGCGTCATGCGGTTGCGGATCTGTCCAATCCCGGAAGGAAGCTGATGGTTCACTACTCGGTGCTTACCTGCGGTTACTGCAAGGGTCAGCATCTGATGCAGTATCACAACGCTTATGTCACAGAGCGACAATCCAGCATCGGCAAATGGACCTTATCTGTCGCAAAGGTTCATGCAATCAACGGTATCAGCGTCCTGCATTTCTCACCTTTGCCACTCCTTTTTTGTTCTTCACCATGTACTGATGTGCCGGCTCAAACCCTCCCCCGTAGCTGCATCGCTGAAAGTCACAGCATTAACAAAGGACATTCTCAAGGACCCGGCTATTGTTCTCACCTCCACATGAGGGTTGCGGGAGGACTGGAGTGTGCGTCGTCGCTGCTTGCGACAAAGCGCAGGGTGCCAGCTTCGAGCAGGCATCTGTTCACGCTGCATCACTTCGTCACAAGACGAACATGACCAAGCCCGGTGCTGCTACTTGCGCCAGCAAGGGTGCTCTCAACCTGGGAGCTTTCCGCAAGGAATTCGCCAAGTAGCTGTCTGGGCGTTGTTGCTCCAGTGCTTCACATCTGCAAAAGCACAGAGGGGAGAAGGATGGCAATTCAGTTTTCGAGTCAGCTGTGGTAGCTGTAGTAGTAGTCTCTATGATGTGCAGCTCTTTGGTGCGGATGGTGTTAGCGGTGCGCGTGTATCAGGAGTCATGTACCAGCTCTTAGCCCGTGGATGCGAAGGGGCTTTTCACCTGTTTTTTAATGAATAAGAAGAACACGATCAGATTCTGCGAGCTCAACATCAACGGGCTCGGCAGTGCAGGGAAGCAAGGGAAATGCAAAGATTGGATAAGGAACAAGGCGGACATTGCGGTACTTACAGACACGCGTATCCCTGCTGATCACAACTTCTGGACCCAGCTGAAGCCGTCTGCGGTGGTGGCCGTGGGGCCAGCTGGGTCGGCAGGAGGAGTGGCAGTGGTGAGCTTCATACCTGGGATGGTTTTCACAGACACGTATACACATGCATCAGGGAGATTGGCGGGGGTGGTGGTCCGTTGGGGGGACCTGAAGCTGCTCCTGGTCGCGTTATACTTACCAGCACTGCCGGAGAACAGGACGCCTTTCCACAGGGACTGCCTGGAGCCCTTTCTTAAACCCGAAGCTGCGGAGTGTCCTGGTGATGGGTGACCTGAATGTTGTGGAGGACCCAGTGCTAGACAAGTCATCGGAGGTAGGGTCGTCGGCGGAAAACAGGAGGCTGATGGGATACTGGGCGGCCACCGTGTTGACTGATGTCTTCCGCTTTACGCACCCTGGGAAAAAGGAGTACACTTTTCATATGAGGGCAAAAGGAGTAAGCACCAGGATTGACCGCGCGCTGGCGACGCAGCCGCTACTAGGAAAACTGGTGGAGGTGCGACATGCGGACATCACGAACAAGATGACAAACCACTGGTGTGCGGTGGTGGTCGCGCTGGAGTCGTCAGCGGCGGTCGATAGGGGGCCTGGCATCTGGAGACTGAGGGCTGCTCAAGCAAAGAAGAAAGGGGTTAGGAATCGGGTTGAGCGAGTGCTCAAGGACGCAGGCGGGGACCTCGGCAATATGTTGCCCAGGTTAACTGCGTGCCTGAGGGCGTACACACGGGAGGAAAAAAAGAGGGTCGGGGTGATGAAAAGGCACCTGAAGAAGGAGGTGAAAATCTACAGACACCGGCTGTCGCGAAGCCCGAACTGCAAGCGAACGTGGACAATCCTGCTCAAGAAAGAGGAGCTGCTTGACGCGTATGAAAAAAGCCACCAGGAGAAGCTGCAAGAGTGGCTCGGGGTGAAGGCGGAGCTGGATGGGGAGACGACAACCGGTTTTCTGTCTGGAAAAGTGAAAATGCGCAAGGCCAAGACGGAGATGTCAGCGGTGAATTTCAAGGGGGTAACTCACTCGGGTGCGAGGGAGGTGCTGGTGGCGGCGACTGAATTTTTCAAAGACTCTTTCGGCGGGCGTGGGGAGGCAGGCTCAAGCGCGTTGGAGCCGAGAGTTATGCGCCGAACATTGTGCGACGGCAGCAGGAATGCGCTCAGTGCACCGTGGTTGGAGGAGGAGGTCCGGACGGCGGTACGCGAGCTAGCTCCAAGGACGTCGCCTGGGCAGGACGGTCTTCCCAAGGAGTTGTTTGAGCATAACTGGGACTTGCTGGGCCCGGTACTGATGAAGTTCGTCGGCGATTTCACGCGGACGGCGGAACTTCCTCGGGAAATCTCAACTGCAATCACAATCCTGTTACATAAGTAAGGAAGCAAAGAGGAGTTAGGGAATTACAGGCCCATCACTTTGCTGAGCACAGTCTACAAGGTGCTGGCAAAAGTAATGGAATCGAGGCTCAAGATGGTTCTGCATGAGGTGATCTCAGAGGATCAGGTGGGGTTTTTACCTGGACGGAAGCTGGCGGACGCTGTCGCGGTGGTAGCGGATGCGATCGAGGCAGGAGCCAGCGGAATGGAAGATTGGTTCCTCCTAATGGTCGATTTCCAGAAGGCCTTCGACTCCATCTCGAGGCCTTTCCTCTTCTGCACGTGGGGTTCCGGAGATCTTTATGTCTTGGGCGGAAGGCCTGCACACAGGAGCAGGAACGAGGCTGCACATTAACAGGTGGACAGGAGACCGAGTTGCGGTGGAAAGAGGGGTGCGGCAAGGCTACCCACTTGCACGATACCTTTTTCTGTGTGCGGTGGAGCCGCTCTGCCAGGAGTTTGCGCGGCGGGGGCTGGGGATCGGCGACGGCGGGGCGGATAGGCTGGCGTATCTGGGGTACGCTGACGACACGTCACTCCTGTCGAATGGGGAAGAGCAGCTGGCTGCTGCGGCTGAGGCGCTGGAAAACTTTGGGAAGGAATAGGGGCTGAAAGTAAACAAAGACAAGACGGTGGTCTTCCCGCTCGGGGTGAATAGAGGGAAGTCCCCGCCGGCGGGCGTTTAATACAAATGGGCCGACAAGGATGCACCAGAGAGGCTGTTGGGCATCTGGATTACTCCGAACGGTGACCCGCTTCCGTCATGGGAAAAGGCGTTGGAAAGGGCGCGTAAGGAGTTAGCCAAGTGGGAGATTCAGCACCTCACAACAACAGCGAGAGTCACGATAATCAACAGTTACATCTCGCCCATCTTCATGTTCCAAGCTTACATCTACCCGCCGCCAGAAGAGATATGGACCAAAATCAAGAGGATATGCCACAAATTCGTGTCCGGGGGCGAGGCGACAGAAGAAAAGACCTTCATTCTTTGGAATTACGAGCTGATCTGCACGCCAAGGGAGGAGGTGGGGCTGGGGATGATTTGCCCCAAAAAAAGATTTGACAGCATAGCGGTGCAGAACGTAGGGCGCATGATGCTGCAAGCTAACTTGATCAAGAAGTGGCTGACGGAGCGGGCGGCGGCGATGCCTCTGGGCCTGGACACGATTTACGCCCACCAATCCCTGCTAAAGCACTGGATGGAGGGAAGCAAGCGGTGGAAGGGTATGGTGCAATCTTTCTGGAAATCCCCCTTCTGCGTCACCCCGGAGCCGGAGAATCGATGGGAGGTGGAGCGAGAGCAGTTGGCGTTCAACAGACGCATACCTTTCCGAGGAGCCACCCCATTCGGAAATCAGAAGGGCTCGGCACGCCTCCTGGGGCTGACGATGGGCGACGTGATCTGGCACCGGGCAGATGGCTCACGGGGGCTGAAGGACAAGGAGGCCCTGGCGAGTGAGCTCGGCAGCGCAGAGGCGGCGAAGCTAGCTCTGAACGCTTTCGGGGCGGCGCCGGCCAGGTGGAGAGAGCAGTTGTTGGAAACTCTAACAAGCGAGGAGATTGCTACTAAAGCTCCTCTGCTACGGTATCAGGGAGGTGCTGTGTCTCGCCCCACGCTCTGGAAAGTTACGGGCGCGAACAGCGGGAGGGTGACAGGGGTGATGTGTCACGAGGGCGCTGACGTCACTTTCACTCTTGGAGATGGAAGATATTTGGTTAACTTCGGTATGCACAGTGGGGAGCCGGTAGCGGCTACGAGCGATAAGGAGCTGGGGTTAATCGGCGAAGCACGTACAAATCTCGTGCAGTCCAAGCTATGCAAGAACGGGGAGGTGCTGCCGCTGAAAGAGATTAGGTTGGGACTGGTTAGCTCGGCACGCACTGTGAAGGAGCAGCGGAGATGGGTTGGAGATGGGAGGGTGATTGAGTGGAAGGGGGTCATCAAACAGAGGGACTCTCTCGCCACCCCCGCCCGGGCACGAGAAATTTTGCTGAGGCTGCACTGTAGGAATCTGCAAGTAAGGGAGCGGCTTTTCTTTATGAAGGAAAAAGTGGTCTGTCCACACTGCAAGGCGGAGGAGAGACCGGAGCATTGCTTGCTCGGCTGCCTAGCGATTCAAAAGGTGGTGCGGTTCCTGCAGAGAGGACTGGCGGAGATGTGTTGAACAAGAATGAATGAACTAGCAGTAAAATGAGTACAAGTAGGAAACCCTAGAAATGTGTACCCCCTATAGGCTAACCCACTGTAGCCTAAATAACTACAACAACATATATAATGTTTGACACAACCCCATAGGCGAAGTGGGGGAGAACTAGGGGTCACAAGACCACTCAAGTAAAGCAAAGCAAAGCAAGCTCAGGGTGGATCACAACGTCACCACACATTCCGAGCACAAGTTCAAGGCCACAAGGCCAGTTCACATGAAGGAGTACATATATATATAAGGCTAAACAAGCAAGAGCAGCAATATATATATGTAACAGTACAAAGAGGGTCAAGAGGAGGGCAAGTGAGGCAAGACAGGCACAAGACCCAACTGGGTACAGAAGCGCTGATGATCACAAGGTGGAAGTGTTGAGTGATGCTACCATTCGCATTCACGTCTGTCTGCCTCCCATCATATGTTCGTGCGTTGCATGCGTGTTGTGAGTGTGTGCAGAAATTTGTGTTTTGTGCGGTTTGTTTTTTCTGATTGTGTGTGTGTGTGAATGTTATTTGGCTTGAGCAGATATCTGAAGTGACTCCTCTGCTCAAGAGCTTTCCGAGGAACCAAGTATCGCTTCAATCGGAGCACGAACAAGAAAGTTACGAACGTTGGAGTTCGTATGCTTTTGATATTTGGTTGTGGTGACTATGGGAAGTTGTGGGGTTGACTCAATATGGGGTACAGACTTTTGAGGGTTGGGAAATTCGTCTTTTCTACTGTAGTTGCTGCCAAATGGTTGGGAGAAACCAAACCAGGCTGGCAAGTGTGGCCAAGTTGGGTTGAGGTGGATTGTGGAGGTTGGGATAGTGACAAAGGTCAAAGTTGGGTTGCCTATGGGGAAGGGAATTGTATGGCATGGGGTTTCCTTGGTTGGGGACTCTCTTGGGACCTTCCCTCTCGTCCTCCTCATCCCTTCCACCTGGTTTAGTGCTACTCCAATTCTCTTGTGTGAACTTGTGTGAACTTTGTGATTGAGTTAAGATTCTATGGCAGCATACCCCCTAGTGCGCCGAAATTGATAGCTCAAGAAATACTTCACCTTTTCGCATGATTCAACTTGGGAATTGTAGCCACGAAGTAGAGCTACAACATATCCGAGTTTGATGAAGTTTTGACCGTGAACTTTCCGTCGACGGCGTTTCTTGTGAACTCGACTTTTCTGTTCAGAAACTAGGCCCAACGATGTTGAGATATTTTGGCTACTAATCTTCATAGACTCCGTCCTCAGTCTCTAACAAGTGGTATCAGAGCTGATTAAGGACTTTGTGGAGAGTCTACTGAAGTGTGAAGGCCCTCATAGACCCACCATGGCCTGTGGGCGTGCCTAAGTGGAGTTCTGGAGGTTGGATGTGACTTCCGCTAAGGGGAAACTCTGCCGAAATTTCGTTGGCGCCGACACTTGTGAAGATTGTGTGGATCTACATTTTGACCAGCAAAAGGGGGAGCTGAAACCTCTGATTGGGAGCAGAGGAGATGAATCAAGGGAGTGGAGATGCAGCTGAGAAGAGGAGTGAACCGCCACCATCCAAGATCGAAGCTTTGGATGGCTCCAACTATGAGGAATGGAGCGAGCGGATGCGGAGCGCCTTCAAGCGCTACAAGCTACTGAAAATTGCAATGGGAGAGGAGAAGATGCCGGGGGTAGGAGATGCCCGCGATCGGTGGATTGAGAAGAGCGCGGTGCTGTACGACCTCATCCTCCAATCGGTCAACAACGACATGTTCCAGCACATCAAAGATTTGGTGGAGTTGGATGATTCCGGACCAAAGGCATGGAAGCTGCTACGCGACGTGATTCAGCCCAACACGCTGCCGATGGTGATTGTGTTGGAGAAGGAGTTGGCTGCCCTCTCCATGAAACCGGGAGATGATGTGAAACCGGTCCTTGACAAGATCAAGGACATCTATGCGAGGATGGCAGCGGCGGGCAGCGAAGTGTCGAAGATGCAACAGTGCACCAAGATCATCTCGGTGCTCGACAACTCGTGGGACAACCTCATCCCCACCCTCAAGGTTCAGCAGGACAAGTGGACGCCTGAGTGGCTACGGCAGCAGATTCTGCAAGAGGACTTCCGAAGGCGCCATACGGGAGGTGGTGCTGCCAACAAAACTGCTGAGGGGTATGGAGTTGCAGGAGGCAGCAGAGGAAGAGGGGGAGGGAGAGGCCGAGGCCGTGGGAGAGGCTTTGGCAGAGGAGAGGCCGAGGTGACTACAATGAGGGGCATGGGAGCTCTGGTGGCAGGGGGAGCACCCGAATGGAGGGTGCGTGCTGGTACTGCAAGAAGGCTGGACACCCGTGGTTCAAGTGTTTCAGCCGGCCTGAGAGATGGGCCCCTCCAGGCATGAAGCCGCCAAGTGGTGAACGTGCACGCGGTGGCGCTGTGCAAGGATCAGGTGCACAAGGTGATGGTGCACAAGGTAAAGCCGACCCTGGGATGTTCCTCATGGTTGAGGATGTGCAAGGGAGTGGGGGTGATATGGGTTCAGTTGGGAAGGTTGTGATGCACCCCCTCACTCACTGGGTGATCGATTCAGGTTGCACGAGTCATATGACCCCACGGGCAGATTTGCTTGATGAGGTAAAACCTCCTGGGAAGATCAAGTTTGTGGCTGCCGCTTCAGGTGCTTTGCTCCCTGTGATTGGTGTTGGGAATGCTAAGGTGATGGGAGCCAATGCAGAGCTTGTGGGGCTTGGGAATGTGCTGTTGGTTGAAGGTTTGTCCGCTAACCTTCTTTCTGTGCGCCGGCTGCAGAAGAGCAAGGCTGAAGTTACCTTCGGCCCAACCAGCTGCCGTGCAAAGCTTGGGAAGTTGCTGCTGTGGAACTTGGAGGAGAAGAGCAGCTGCATCAAGGACTTGTGGCAGCTGCCCATCATCCCTTGGAAGGGGAAACCACCAGCAACAGCAAAGGCAGCGGGAGCGGCTAAAGCAACTGCGGGAGGAGAGGAGTCTGCACCAACTGCTGGGGCCATGGATGCAGTCAAGAAGGTGCAGCAGCTACAACAGCCACAAGGTGAGGTGCTTGCTGGTGTGGATGCGACAGCTGCATGGGCAAAGGCTTCATCTGGGAGTGGTGAGGCTGATTGGGAGACGTGGCATGAGAGGCTGTGCCATGTGAACATTCCTATGCTGCAGAAGTTGGTTAAGGATGGGTGCTTGACGGGGCTGGAGGTGAAGGGGGGAGCAAAGGAGATTGGGAGCTGCCCTACCTGCCTTGAGACCAAATTCACGAAGTTTCCCTTCAGCAGCAGCACAGGACCAGCCAAGGCACCACTTGCACTAGTGCACATGGATGTGGTGGGCCCCACGAGGGCCCTTTCTCTCTCGGGCAGCCGCTACTTCTTGACAATTGTGGACGACCACACACGTGCGGTGTGGGTGTACCCTCTCAAGACTAAGGGGGAGGTGGCAGCGGCTGTTCTTAAGGAGTGGATGCCGAGAGCACAAAGGGAGAGCGGACACAAGGTGAAGGTGATCCGCACTGACAACGGAGGAGAGTTCATCGGCGCTGATTTTGAGAAGGAGCTGAAGCGGAAAGGGATCCAGCATCAGCTCACAGTGCCTTACAACCCTCAGTAGAATGGCTTGGCTGAGCGGTTCAACCGGACCCGGCAGGAAGGTGCTCGCACTCTCCTTGGGCGTGCAGGGCTGCCGGATCCGTTTTGGGTGACAGCACTGCGGCAGGTCGTTGTTGTGAAGAACCGGGTGCTGGCGACTGTGGGGGACAAGCAATGGGTCCCCTACACCAAGTGGTATGGGAGTGCGCCTGCAGTCAACATGCTGAGAACTTCTGGCTGCATGGTGGTGTTTCATGTGCCTAAGGAGAAGAGGGGAAAACTGGAAGCTTCTGGGAGATGGGGTGTGCACTTGGGGCTTGCTAAGGATCACAAGGGCTGGCTGATTTGGGACTTGACCAGCCAGCAGCTGACTGTGTCAAGGGATGTGAAGTTCCTTGAGTCCTTGTACTACAAAGAGTTGAAGCAGCAGCAGCAGCAGAAGCTTCCTACGACACCGCTAATTGTCGAGGCCGATGAGGTGCAGCGGCCTTCGAGGCAGGTGGAGGTTTGTGTCTCCAAGGAGGAGATCTCTGGGGTGACTGATGATGGGGGGGAACCTGAGGTGGAGCAGCAGCAGCAGCAGGAGGAGCAAGGTGCTCCACAAGGTGCCGGACGTACGGCTGACCGTCCTAGGAGGGATGTGCGCCCTCCTAACAGGCTGACCTATGCAAGCCGTGGCAAGCCAAAGGTGGTGAGGGCTGGGAGTGTGGCTGAGCAGTGTGATGAGGATGAGATAGCACACTGCTACTGGGCAGCCGTCCCTGAGCCCAAGACGCTAGCTGAGGCATTGAGCGGGCCCGATGCTGAAAAGGGGAAGCAGAGTGTGAAGGAGGAGTATGATTCTCTTCTAGAGAATGAGACGTGGGAGCTGTGTGAGCTGCCACCCGGGAAGAAGGCCATTTCTTCCAAGCTGATTTTCAGGCACAAGTACGGACCTGATGGGGCGCTGACCCGCTACAAGTCAAGGCTTGTGGCTAAGGGGTTTCAGCAGACAAAGGGAAAGGACTTCAACGAGCTCTATGCTCCTGTGGGGAAAGGCACAACACTTCGGGTGTCATTGGCAATGGCAGCAAACCGTGGATGGCAGGTGAAGCAGATGGACATCACCACCGCCTTCCTCAATGGGATCATTCTGGAGGAGCTGTACATGTTACAGCCTGAGGGTTTGGATGATGGGAGCGGCAGGGTGTGCAGGCTGAAGAAGGCCATCTATGGCCTGAAGCAGGCTCCTCGTGCATGGTACCACAAGTTAGAGGAGACTCTGCTGGCTGGGGGTTTCAAGAAGAGTGAGTGTGATCACAGCTTGTTCCTGCTGCAGGAGAAGGAGCAGTTTCTCATGCTCCTGGTGTATGTGGACGACATCCTGCTCTTCTCTGATTCGTCTGCAATGATTGAGCATGTG